CGTGGCACAATGTGAATCATACTTTGAGAGTGTCTCTCGATGATGAGATTGCTGTGAATATTGAAAGAAATAACCCCAATTTCCACTTCAATTAGTCGCACAGTTTCACATCTCTCTTGGTTGTTATGAGCATGTTTGCCATAGTGAATCTGGAAGATCCAATTTACTTATACTGTTGATTGCCATTTGCATGATGCTTCGAGAGATTGTGTTTGGGTGCGATGAAATTCCAGAATTTCAATTTTCAACCTTGTCAATTTGTATCTCTCAGCATCACAACAGAAGCCGAACAAACAGACGCCCAAATTGCTTCTCACAGTTGTCTCCAGTAGCGAGAGAAATTGATTTGTTGTCCAGCCGGGAGTCCATCATCTTGCACGCCCATTCGGGCTCCGCGTGAGCGAATAATTTCCACCTCAATGGTCGGTTGGGGTTCGATGGGAAGTCGAATAATAATATAACTCCCATTACCAAATACCCAGAGACTTTCTTTCATCGGGCGCTCCAGATTGATTGCCACACGAAATTGCACCTGCCTTAATTGGCCACCAAGGAAAAAGGGTTTCCTTCGGAGATGCGCGGAGATCGCGTGAATTTGATAATTTGAACCCTCTCTCGGAGTTAGTCAATAGCGTCAAATTCCCATAATTCATGACCACATTGAAGACCCGCTGAAGATGAGCCTCATCAAAATATTTTCTCCAAGAAATCCCACTAAAAATTTCCAACGCACCTGGAAGTCATCTAAGCCAAAAAGTGTTGTGTATAATTCTCATGGGAAGGAAGAGAGCGAAAGAAGAGGCATTCAAAGCCAATTTAACACATCCAGGTGAGAGATTTGTACCCGAAAAATCTCAAACCACAGAGAGCCTTTGATGTCATCCGGTCTTGGCTGAATACCAAAAGGCCCAGAGAATCGATGAGACTAATTGAAGGGAATTTTTGGTTACATTTTCCAGGTAAATTCCTTTCCAACACAAAAATCAAAGATGCAGCAATTGTCAGTGAACAATTGCAAAATAAAGGCACCCAGAAAGTGGAGAATTTGTTGAAACCAAATTGCATTAATTCAACTTTCAGGGAAATATTTGCCTTCAAAGGCATTCTTTGGCAAATTTTCTCACTCCTCCCAAGTTGTGAGGAAATACTTAAGGTTTCAAGGCTTTGTCTGTGACATGTGATCATAGGGAAATGAGTGGATTTTATTATTACACACATTTTTGTGCAGAATCTTTAATATTTCAGACATTTCTGACTGCCTTTTATCGTTTTTTTACATTCCTTCAACTGGGAATTTAATTTATTTAAAGTTTTTCTAACACAATTGCTCAAGTTGGTTAAGAAATAGAGAAACATTTTCATCTTAAACACAGATTTGATGATTTTGAGTGTTATTTCATCACGAAAATGCAACGAAATTGATTTTTCTAGGCAAAATAACATAGAAAATCCCTCAATTTGTTGCTGCAGAAGCTTTTGCAATGCATATATTCTATTTTACCACTTCCGACCGTGCTTATGTGCCCCTTGTCTTTATATATCTGTGAGAATCATCAGCACAGTCGTGAGACGTCTCTATATGTCACTCGTGAAGCGTGTGGCGCTTTGATGGAAAGATGAAAAGTTAGATCCTCTTGATGTGATTCTCAATTAGAGACGCGCCGTGATGAATGGAATGCACTCAGCTGAGCTGGCGAAGTGGGTGCAATGGCTGAAGAGCATCCATTGCCCTCCCCTCGACGGGTCGGGGAGAATTATTGGTGTATTTAGTTGCAAATATTGAGAACGAGCATCGCTCACAACTTCCTTTGGAGTATTAATATTGAATAGGCCGCGCTTCATTGAACATGAGTTTCGTGCTCGGGCACACTAAATAGAATTACTGCCTCCACTCTCTTTGCTTTATTCACCTATTAAGTGGTTCTGATTGAATATCGAACTGTGGCAATCTGCATTCTGCATCCTTCCACGCAACGATGGTGGCTGGCGATAGCATCTGGAGGCCCCACTTGTTTGCCTTCAATATCATCTGTCCGAAGATGTGAAACATGTGTGTGGCATAATCCTTTTGGCCACTCGGCGCGCCTCCCGCCGCCCCAGTGTGCGCTGTGCAATCCTAGGCGGATGCCGCATGATGTTTCTGGGCTGGAAATTTAATACTGCACCGCATGCCAGCATTCCTCACCAGAGGCCAGAGGGTTTCGGATAGGTGAAAATTCCATCGGTGGTCAGTGGCGGTGAGGCCGTGTAAGCTTCTGCTCGGCTGCCACTTGATGCCTGATGATAGTGCACACACGACCCATCGGCAGGAACATGCTTATTGATTTTGCAGATTACAAACACCAATAATCCATCGACAAGCCAACGACGGCGGCAGAGGCCGCCGCGCTGATTTACTACCGCCAAGAATCTCTGCGTTGATTCATGCCCAGCGTCTCGCCCCCTCCCGCTCGCCGTGTGTCCAATTTATTGCTCTTGTACGGCGCGCGGACTCCATGAAACTGAATCGAGTGTAATTAATACAATTTCGTGTATATACGCCGATAATTCTAAGTACAGTGGAAAAGGCGGGAAGATTGCCAGCGCGCACTATCTCTGTGGGATCCGCGAGGCTGAGAACATGAATTAGAGATGGAATTGTTGTGTTAACTCTTCATTGTTTTGTTCCTGCTGCTGCGCCGACACCGGGCAAAGAGTCAGAATTGTGTCAGATGAAAAATTACATGACACTTCTGGAGTGCTTCTCAGCTGAGGGGGGGGAAATATATCGCAGAGTGCGCTGATATTTGTACAGTTTGTCAGTCCATAATGAGAAACAAATAGGCAGGGTTTCTCTTGGCGGGCACTTTGTGGAGCGATTGAGGGTCCTTTCATCTTTCCCACCCTTTCAGACGTTCTAAAATCCTCACTCGGAATTCCAGACGCTGCCATCGCGCGGCTTCAGCTATGCGTTAATGATGAGATTTGTGTGATATGAAGAATATTCGTGTTGTCTTTGGCATGTCTTTTCTTGCAAAAACAGCGTCTTGCGATTGTGCAAGGGAAAAGAAGAGCGCTGATAATCTAATCTGTATTCTCAGAGAGCAATTTTCCTTTCATGAATTGATAAAATTTTCCCTTATCTGCGTGATTTTCTCACGTTCTTGTCTGGTGAATTATCTGATAAAATATGCTGTGATGTTATTCATCCAGTGTTTCGCTTTAATTTGCGTTGACAAGACGTTTTTCATTGAAAGTTGTGATGAATTCAGTGTTGACAATCCCAAAAGAGTTAAGAAATCCGATGCAAATATCATTTTTGAGAAGCAAAAGCATCTCCTGAAGTGGAAAGATTTACTATAAATTGATCTCAGGCTTTTTTAAAATCATTCCAAATCCTGTTCACTTATAATGACTGCTGAAGAACAGCAAGATTGCCAATAAAGTCATTCGTGAGACTGACAGAGAGGAAAAAAAACTGGAGCAATTCTCGTTGTTTATGCAGAGAAGTGAATTGAAATGGCCTCTGAACTGTCAGTGGATATGAATTTGTTGTGTGCACAAGAAGGGGAAATTGCGTGTCTCTGAGGTGGCAATCGGAGGTTGAGTGTGTTGGACAAACAAATTTATTAAAATCCTCTTATAAATGCAATCATTAAAAATCCATAACAACTCTTCCTAAGTCCAGGTGAGCCACGATGCCGAGGCCTTCGTGATCACAAGCCATAAAGGCGATGGAGATTTGCAACTCCCACTGAGTAACACATTTTCAATTTGTCGATTTTTGCCTCAATACCCCATCAAGTCATTCCCTTCCATGTCTTTTTTATCCAACTGCGAGAAGAGCAGCTGAAGCCTTTTCCCGCGCCAAACAGTGGACGAAGATGAATTTACAAGGGGCGCGTGAGTGGCAAAAGGAGTGCCATCTATTTGAGAATTGGCTAAAAAGCGAAAGAAATCGTAGAAAAATGATCATTTTAAGCACATAAATGTTTTAATTGGTTCGAATTTATTCAAATCTCATGAATTTTATAACTTTCTTACTCACACTTCGTCCCTTGATCGCCTTTCTTGGCCACCCCCTTGGCACTCCTTGTTGACTTTCCCCCGTGGGAAGTGATGGGCGTGCACTGCGAAAAAAAATTGCAAGATGAATTTGGCAAATGGGAAATAGTGGCGAAGGGAAAATCCATTTGTGGCTGGTGTTCTAAGAGGGGAAAAATATATAGATTTAGGGAAGATCTGTGAGGGAGAAAAAGTTGACAAATAGAATAAAATATTTCACGCTGAAAATTCCACGATTTGCCCATTAATCACCTCGTCTTGGAGAGATGGATTGTTGGAGTGTTTCTTGGGGCGAGTGAAGAAAAAATATACAGGATGGGCAAAAAGTCGACAGTCAATATTTCCTCTCGGAGCGATTCCAATAAATTCCCGTGTCCTGAATGGCGCATTTGCAGTGGGTGGAGGGGAAAAATCATGAATTTGATTAAGCCACGGACTCGGCTGGATGGGTTAAATTTTTAAATCTAATCAAAAAGGATTGCATCGTATTTCAGATGGACGTCCAGGGTCGTGGAGAGGCGATTCGGGCATGTGAAATACACACGGGCGATTGAATAATTGATTGAGATTTGAGGCCACACTCGAGTACAAATTTATAGACACCCTTCGGTCAGTCACGAAGTTGTGTCCCAGAGATTGACCCGCATTGAATGTCTGCCGAAATCAATTTAATTTTTATACGGACACCACGTTTTTCGTACAACATCTCCAAGTCACTCGTGCCGCAATAAAGCTGAGATATTTATTGATTCTCTATCTCTTAATATCGAATTGCCTCAAGGATGAATTTCTTACAGCTATTTATGGGCCACAAACTCTCTCTCAACATTCGCCCGAGAGAAGACGTTTGACTTTTTAATCCTCTCTTCAGCTCAATTTACTCAATGGCATGACGGCAAAGGTAAACATCCTTTCCAATGAAAGTCACTCAAATGGTGAAAAGCACATCTATTTTCTTGTCTATTTCCGGCCGTAAACTACAAAATGAGTACCACTTTCTTTGCTTTCTCCGGATTCGTGGATAAGATTCTTCGCTGTCGCTAAATCGACAGCTTCTTTCAGATAATCTTCTTGCTCTGAAGGTGTCATCGAGTGCAATGGATTGGGAAGAGCCTTGAAAAATCCTGGAAAACAGCATGATAATTATTTTTCAGTGAGTTAAATTGCAATTCTTACCCAAAAATTCACTTTCATCGCAAAATGCAAACGTTGAGACTTCAGAATGTATGTTGAAATCAGTAAATCCAATAGATTTCATCATTTCTTTGATAGTTTCAACTGCATTTTGATCACTTCTGTAGGGGAAAGGATAAAAATCTTCTGGATTTTTTATGAATTTCCTCCATTTCTGTCTTGCACACAATTCCATTTGAGTATCCATTAAGGCGTGTTTAGTAACAAAGTAGAGGAAAAATTGTCCATCCGCTGATAAGAGATTGTAGATATTCTCAAAGGCTTTCCTTTGGTTTTTCACCCACATTAAGCAGTTAAGACAGAAGATGTGATTAAATTTGTTCGTCAATTCATTTGGTAATTCACTAGAAATGTCCAGAATGTCACAGGAAACTTTCTGCTCTTCGACGAAAAACCTTTTGGCCACTTCAATCATGTCTCTGTTGATGTCTGTGATGAGAAATTGTTGAAAGTCCTTTGGAAGAAGTGGATAAATGTACTTGTGAGTTAAATCGCCAGATCCACATCCAATATCTAGAATAAATTCGTTCGATTTCCACTGGATAAACTGTCCGTATTTTCCAAAAAACTTTTCGAAACATGCATAATTAATCCTATTGAATTCCCAAAGAAGATCTCCGTTGAATTGACTCATTTTCACCCAGATTTAAACTTTTCTCACGCACCTCAAAAGCACCACTGATGAATGACTCTCTCGCTCTGGGTGTTTTATGTTGAATAATAACATCTGTGGCAAGGTTAAATGAATGCAAAAGATAGTCAATTATAGTGCGTAAACACGCGTGGGATTAATTTACAGTGAAATTACACCCAACGTGACTTAATCGAGCAGCGCATTTAATTAAATAAGATATGCGAAAGCTCTTAAAAGTTGCACGACTCCTCATGAGCCATTTAAGCCTAGCACTTTGATGTGTGGCTTTTGTGGTGGAAGAGATGCTCATGACACGCTCACATATGACCTGAAAATTCTTGTCTCTCTTTTTCCATTAGAGCACTTTTGAATATTTAATGATGCCATCATGGTTTCCACGATGGGGAGAGAGAGAATCATCACTCGAATGTCAAAATGCGTGCGAAATTGATGGAAAAGCTTTTCGCTGAAAGCTCATTCAGCACTAAATTGATTTTGCTTTTTTCTTCAAGCTCTGAAGTGACAAATAAGAATAGAGTGAAATTCGAAGATTCTTGCGGTATTTTCACTCACACTCTCCTTGTCATTTGCTGTAATACAATTTGGTGCCTTTTGCCTTCCATTTTTCACGAAATTGCACTCCGCGCGCACAATTTTTTCCTTTTGAATATTGACAGATATTTAATGGCGCGCCATTAGTGTATTTGCTGAGAGTGTGTGTGATTTGGAGGATTGGAAGAAAGCCGAGGCGAGGGAAACAGCAATTCAGGAGCACTTATAAATGTGCTCTGAGAGCCATCCTTGGGCATATAGACACACAGCAAATACGAAAGCTTTCGGAGAAGAACTGCAACACGGAATTAAACATGAGATCTCAAGTGGTTTGAATCCTTTGGCAAACTCCACCGACAAAGTACACCTTTTCGTGTGCATCCTTCACTCGCTCCTGAAGGAATTTGTTCGGTAATTTGTTCAAGACATCTCGATGGTCTCTTGAAACAATCACAAACTCTACCAACTGGTGGCAAACATCAAAAGAAGACCAGCACTTTGGCGATGGAATTGTGATAGAAAAGATGTCAAGAGAAAGGACACAATCGTCAAGAGGAACGTTTCTTTGAGGTTTCTGAAGTGTTTTCCCCAATGTTATCTGTCGATCGGAGAGACAATGATAAAGTTTACTATTGCATTATTATTGTTAGACACTGAGAATAATGGATTTGACATGGATTTCAAATATCATTCACTAAATTGATTAGAAATTTCAATGCAAGTGAAATTTGCCACTTTCAACACTTCATACACGATGCTTTTATTTTCATTGATTACCTTTGGTTAAGCGACAAAGTATATCAGTTGTGCGAAATCTTGCACAATCTTATCTATGTTTACTAATCCTCATATTTTCTCAGTGTGACATGATTTTTCCGCATCTTATGTTAGTGCAGCTTGAACTGTCTCAGTGTTTGAACGTTGCAATGAGTGGTGGTTTTGATAAGTGTCTTCTCAAAGAATTCAGTCAAATTCGCGAGCATCACACAAAGATATATCTGGATAATTATGGACACTTGTTGACATGGAAACCGAACGAATTTATCCTGGATATTGGCTGTGGATCTGGCGATATAACGCACAAATTAATTTATCCTCTTCTCCCTGAGGATTTTCAGCAGTTAGTTTGTTCAGACATCTCTGGAGATTTGCTTGAAGTGGCTGAAATACAGTTCAAAGGAATACCCAAAGTTTCCTTCGACATTTTGGATATTTGCAGTGAATTGAAAGATCATTGGAAGGATAAATTTAACCACATCTTCAGTCTCTATTGCTTAATGTGGGTTAAATGCATTAAGACAGCTTTTCGCAACATTTACAGCCTCTTAGCCAATGATGGAGAGTGTTTTCTGATATTTGTGGACAAGCATGATTTGATAGAAGTTGTGTTTAATCTTCTGGACAAGCCAAAGTGGGCAAAATTCGTCCCGAATCCTGGCGAAACTTATCCTTTTCCGTACAGAAAAGATCGCAACACTGTTGAAACCATAATAAATAGTATGAAATCTGCTGGATTTTGTGATATTCGAGTTCATCTTGAGACCATTTATTACACGTTTAAAACTGAAGAGGAGTTTTTGGGTAAATATCGTTGAATTTTTGCTGTTACAGTTAGAAAATCTATTGTCAATCATATTTGTAGGATTTTTCAAATCACTTCCCAATCCAATGCATTTGATGACTGCTGAAGAACACCAAGAATACTTAAAGGAAGCTGTTGAGAGCGCTCGCTCGAAGAAGATCATAAATGAAGCTGGTGAAGATAGAAAAACCGGTGGTTTTGGTAATTATGTAGTGGTTTATGCGAAAAAAGAATAAATGAATTTTTAGAGCGCATTTAATTGATAAATAATTGCATATTTAAACAAATCATAACAACCGGCATGCAATGTATTTATTATGAAACTCATTACAAGATTAATAATTATAAATAATAATGGGCATGATAATATAATGTAAATAATGTAAAAAAAAGATCATTACGCATGCGATAATTTACAAATGAAAGAAAGAAACACACTTGGCTAAAAAATGTATAATTTTAGAGTTAATAGATTAATTATTGTGTTCATAGCGTAATTCATGATAATGGTTTAACGTTTAATGATTAAATGGGGGTTATAAAGTGGGGTAATTAAGTAACATCAGACGTGATATGAAGAATTGCGTGTGTATTTTTGATAACAGAAGTCAGTATTCTATAATCTCTTCGACAGTTCAGACGTCAAAATGAAGCGCGAATTCGAAAAGTCTCTCTATAATAAATTCAGCAGAGTTAGAGAAGAACATATTGTGAGATTTCTCACTGATCACGGACACTTGTTGACATGGAAAGCTGAGGAATCAGTCTTGGATATTGGCTGTGGCACTGGCGATATGACGAAAAAGTACATTTACCCTCTTCTTCCGCCCGATTTTAACGTCTTATCCTGCGCAGACATCTCTGAAGATATGATTGAAAAGTCTCAAGTGCAGTTCAAAGGAATACCCAACATTTCCTTCCATATTCTGGACATTGGCAGTGAATTGAAAGAAGATTTTAAAGATAAATTTAACCACATCTTCAGCTTTTATTGCCTCAATTGGGTGAAGAACCAGAAAAGGGCTTTTCACAACATTAACAACCTCTTATCAACTGACGGAGAGTGCTTTCTGATAATCGTGGATAAGCATGATTTTGTTGAAGTTATGTTTGATCTTCTTGCAAAGCCAAAGTGGGCAAAATTTGTTCCTAAACCAGAAGATTTCTATCCTCATCCGTACAGAAAAGATCCCAATTCTGCTGCAACTGTTGAGGAGCGATTGAAAGAAGCTGGATTTGCTCAGTTTCATGTGTTTACTGAGACAATTTACTTCACGTACAAAGACGAGGAGGAGTTTTTGGGTGAGAAAGAACCGCAGTTTATGTGAAAATTAACACACAGAGTCTTAAATTTCCCTTGTAATTCTTAGGATTCTTCAAAGCCCTTCCAAATCCAATGCACTTGATGACTGCTGAAGAGCAGCAAGAGTACATAAAAGAGGCCGTTGAGATTGCACATTCGAAGAAGATCATCAACGAAGCGGGTGAAGATAGAGAAACCGGTGGTTTTGGGAACTTATTAGTTGTTTATGCCAAGAAATAAATGATCAATTTGCATGAAAGACTCCCTGGAGAATTTCTTTTCACCACACTTTCTCCAACAATGCGTTATTCGCGGAGATTTGCACAAAGAAAGGTTCTGTTTTTAGTGGCGGTTTCCATGCGGGAAAATAGCCAATAAACCCGCGCCTGTTGTGAGTTAAGCGAAACGATCAGTTTACAATATCGCACTGTGCAATCTGAGCACTTCCTCAAAGCGTCGAAAATAAATTGCATGCGGCTTAAAGTGCATTTTAGTGCAAAATTACGCAGGCTTTCATCATTGAGCGCGCCATTGTCTTTGGCATGTCTTCAATGAGGTAATTTCGCATAAATCAATGTGATCCCAATTTCGCATGGGAAAAGGAAGAGAGGTGAAATAAATCACGAGACCATCAAAAGTTGGCAGGAAAATTTGCCGATTCTGGGATAATTGCCTCTGAGAGAGTGTGTAATAATATAATATGGAGGAATTCCAAATGGTTCAATTGTGAAATTCAGACCGCGCGATGAGGAAAAATACCCAGAAGCCATTGTGTGACCGCGTGTGCCTCACTTTGCATATTATGGATGGGAAGTGTTCTCAAGTCCAACAGTGCATGCTAAGGCAAGAGAGAGAGATCATCATATATATACGTTTGCATATGCAAGTCCGCTGGGCCTATTGAAAAATTTTTATTGCATTCAATATAAAAGCGACGGCGAAGCAGGCAAATGGGATGGAGTGGGGGGGGGGGGGGGGGGGAGATAATAAAAGGAATACAAACAGCAAATAAATATTGGAGTTTATTAAAATTCCTTTCATTACACTCCAATTATTAAGAAACCAACAAGGGACGAAATATGGCGTCCTCCATGCTTCGGGCGACTCTTTGACTTTAACAAGGCGGAACGAGGCGCGCAACACCTCTTTTTTCTTGCCTCAACCAAACCGCGGAGGCATCATAAAATGTGTTTATAGAGTGGCATCAAAATTATTATTTCGAATGGTGTTCTCGCGTCGCGGGGCAAAAAGGTGAGATGAATATTGCTGCTCTGGCCATTGAAGGGGTGAATAATAAAGGTGCAAATAATGCTAAATTGATGCAGCATAAAGTGTAATATGAATGCAACATTTTACACCTCTCTCTTCATGTGTTGAATGAGAGACGCGCTAATTTAATGAAGGAGTGAAAAACGGTTTCGATTTCTTCTATTTTTCAGCATAAATAACGAGAATTGTTCCAATAACATCATTAATTTTTCCCGATTCTCTAATCATATTGTAACTGTAAGCCAGATCAACAGCTTCCTGGAGATATTCCTTCTGTTCTGCAGAAGTCATCAGCGACATGGGATTTGGTATAGCCTGGAAAAATCCTGCAAAGATTCAAATATTTAAAATGCCAGCAATTTTCTTTGAATTTCCACCCTCACCTAAATATTCTTCTTCGCTGGTGAAAGCAAACGTTGATTCCTCCAAGTAAACCTTGATGTTCTTGTATCCAATGTCCTTCATAAGCTTCGTTATCGTGTCCACGGGATCCTTGTCCTTTCTGTAGGGGAAAGGATACATTTCGTCGACATTTGGGACAAACTTCTTCCACTTTGGCTTCTCAAGCAGCTGATAAATGATATCTATAAAAACGTATTGATGAACAAGAACCAGGAAACATCCTCCGTCAGTGTTAAGAAGCTCAAAGATGTTCCCAAGAGCCTTCTTTTGATCTGCAATCCACATTAGCAGGAAAATACTGAAGATGTGATCGTATTTTGACTTCTGATCCTCTTGAATGGGTGCAAGGATGTCCATTTGCTCGCAGGACACTTTGGGATTGCCTTGGAAGCGAGTTTTGGTCAATTGCACCAAGTTTTCCTTGATGTCCGCGCAGACGAATGCACTGATGTCCTTGGGAAGGAATGGATAGATGTATTTGGAAGACAAATCGCCAGTTCCACAGCCGATATCGAGCACATTTTCGCGAGGTTTCCACTTGAACAGATGACCATGCTTGGCCAAATAGGATTCCAAATGGCTAGACCTGATCCTGCTGTACTTATCGAGGAAATCAGAGTTAAATTCTGCACTCATTTTGCACGCAATGTCTTGTCTGTCAGACAGTTTAGTGGAAACTGAAGAAACTGACTCGAGACAGTTGATTATATTCAGGGTGAAGGTCAACTTTAGAGGCGAAGATAAGGTGAGATATCGTGCCAATGACTTTCAGGTCAAAGTGATTGATTTAGAAGGGGTTTTAGATATTTATTTCTCACCATAAATCAATAACAATGTTCCAGTGACTGAAGTCTCGCCAGACTTATTGATTGCCTGATTGGCGTAGGCAAATTCCACGGCATCGCTGAGGAAGTCTTCCTGCTCCTCAAGAGTCATCAGAGGCAGAGGACTCGGAATGGATTTGAAGTATCCTGGAATTCAAACACTATAAATCATCCTTTGAATCACAAAATGCATGGAAATTTCATATACCAAGAAATTCCTCTTCATCCTTGAATGCAAAATCTGATTTGTCCAGAAAGACTTGCACATTGACGTAACCAATAGACTTCATAGCCTCACTGGCGGTTTTGACAGGATCTTTCACCTTTCGGTACGGAAAAGGATATATTTCGTCTGAGTCTGGAACAAAAGTCTTCCATCTTGGCTTGTCCAGGAGTTGACAAAGTGTGTCAATAACTGCATGGCGATCAACCATCATCAGGAAGCAAGATCCTTGCGGGGAGAGCAATTGATGGATGTTTTTAAAAGCCGTTTTCTGCTCCTTCAACCACATTAAGCAGTAAGTTGAGAAGATATGATCGAATTGTCCGTGCATTTCTTTGTCGAGTGTCTCATTTATGTCCTTCAGCGCGAAGGAAACTCTTTCATCGTCTTTGTACTGCTTCTTCGCCTCCTGAAGCATCCTTTCATTGTAATCTAGACAGACGAATTGGATGAAATCCTCGGGAAAGAGAGGATAAATCATCTCGCGAGATAAATTTCCAGTTCCACATCCAATGTCCAGAATGGATGCCTTTGGCTTCCACTTCAGAAGATGCTTGTGCTTTTCCAGGACTATCTCGAACTGAGATGTTCTTATGCGACTGAACTTGTCGTACAGTGAGGGATTGAAGTCACGATACATTTCTGCGACTATTTCACTGAACAGCAAATTAGACACTGAATTATAATTATTGACAATATTCAAATTTATTTGGACTCAACATGTGATAAGAGTTAATCAAAATGGTGAAGGTCAAGTTTGTGTTAATTTCCATTCTTTCTCCCATAGATAACGAATACTTCGGAAACTGTGTCGTTAGGCTTTCTGTCACTCATTTCTCCGATTAAATTGTGCCCAATTGCAATATCTGCGGCTTGTTTCAGGTAATCTTCCTGCTCTATTGTCGTCATGTGCTGCAGAGGATTAGGCAGTCCCTTGAAAAACCCTAAACAGAATGAAAAAAAAATAAGTTCGTTATAATGCTCAAATTAATAAATTCCATATATTTGTGACAGCAATTTACCGAGAAATTCATCCGTGGTGGCAAAAACGTAGAGGGATTTCTCCAATTTAACATTAATATTGACAAATCCAATTGATTCCATCATTTCTGTGACACTTTTCACGGGATCGGGGTCCTTTCTGTATGGAAAAGGGTACATTTCGTCTGGATTTGGCACAAATTTCTTCCACCTGGCCTTGCCGTTCAGCTCCGTGAGGACATCCATGTAGAGACTGCCGGCGGCGAATATCAGAAAGCAATCTCCGCCAGGTGATAACAGCTCATAAACACCCTGGAAACACTTTCGCTGATCTGCCAACCAGCCAAAGCTGAAGAGGGAGAAGATGTGATCAAACACTCCCAATTTGGACTTTGACTCTGCATTCAAATCGAAGACTTCGAAGGACACTTTTGGATCGTCAACGAAGGCCTTCTTCACCTCATCCAGCAGTGCTGGGGATTTGACTGTGCAGAGATATTTGGAGTAGTCTTTCGGCACAATTGGATAGATCAGTTCATGACTGAGTCTTCCAGTCGCGCAGCCAATGTCCAGAACAGTGTCCTTTCCCTTTGGATTCCACTTCAGCCAATGCTTGTACTTCTGCAGATAAATCTTCGCGTGATATTCACGGAGTTCGAGAAACTTGTTGATCTGCTCAGGATTTTCAACACTCATTTTGGCTTCTTTTCACTCTCAAGGTGCTCAATGCACTGAAGAATCTATCAAGACTCTAAATTGATTGCACTCGAAAGCTCTGTTATCAAGCATAGACAAAGGAAAAGTGTTTGCATGGACTGATGTACGTTTTCGGGAACAATTGCAACTCAATAGATATTGATATTGAAGGTTTTCTTTGAATTGAAGGCCACGCCCCCTTGAATGCTCCGCCCATTTCGCAAAGAACTCTAACAAAACGATGTACAGATGATTTCCTTCACCAAACTTCCCTTGATTCTATCAATTTTCCAATCAAAAACATCATTTTCTAAGTACCTCTCGAATTAATTCATGTTCAGATAGTGAATGATAAGATATAATATTTGGTCGCACCAAAAATAGACTCTGAAAGCAGATAAAAATGGTTCGCAATCTGCTTGGCTTGTTCTGAAGAATAAAATTAGCTATATTGAAGCGTTCGTGTTGTGGTGGGAAAAAAAAGGCATCGCAGTGCAATTCAGCACAGAAGAACCTCAAAGTGTCTGCAAAAATAATCTCATTTGTCTTTTTAATATCTTTTTCACTATGCTCAGCGAGATATGAATGCAAGCAAGTGGTCGTAATTTGCTTTCATAAAACATACCTCTTGAGGTTTGTTGTGCTATTTAAATGCTAAATAAATGTTTTTTTCTCTCTCTTCTTTTCATCCGCAGGTGAGTGGAAAAATTGCAACTGAATATTAATGCTGTTAAATAGGGCTTTAATACCCGGACAAGTACGTTTGGTGAGTTGATGAAAGGCACCTGAATGTTGATGAAAAAAAATCCTTCCTTTTTGTACAACTGATTTCCTTGAGCGCATTTCGTGCGCGGAAATTGTGGAGCATATTTTCCCAATGCTTTTTTCCATTCATTCAAGACTGTGACGAATTGCAGTGGGAAAGATAGACACACAATCACTTGTCTCAATGGACAATTGACCAACAAGAATTCCCACCAAATGTATCAAAAGCTATCAAAACAGTCAATTGAATTCTCAAATATACCCACTTTGGCACGTTCCTCATTCTTCACACTCTCAATTGCTTTTTTCGAAGGTGAGTTGTGACTTTTTCCTCTTCCTCAAAGAAACTATATTGCACTCTCAGAACACTCAGAGATTATGTGCGTGGTGGAAAACATGAAGAAATACTTGCGACTCATCGTGTTTCTGACTTCCTGCAAAAGCCTAAAGAGAGTCACACACTTTGCTCGCATCAGCAAATAATTGGGCACAATTTGCCGCCGTGGAAGAAGAAAAAATAAAAAGAATCATTGACACTGTGAGAAAGTGAAGCCGCCGGTTAATTCTTACACAAATTTAATTAAGGCTCTGCTGGATTAAATCCACGGCAAATTGCAGAAGTCGAGGAAGTGACGATTGAGGGCGCAAAAGAAGTGCAGACACGCAAAAATGCGTGATTTTTTTTTTCCAAACACTCTCCTCCGCTCACAATGGTTTCGTGTCGAGGCTTTTCATTACACCTTAATCCAAGACGAATTGCTGACAGTTGAACTTCTCAATGGAGCACAGAGAGTTAACACCCAAGAAGTCGCGCGATAGTGTCAGACGCGTTGTCGCTCTATAATCACGTCTCAGCGCGGCTTTTGACTGCGGGGAAACAATTTCAGGGGATTTAGCACAGGTGCGAATAGGATTTTCAATTGCTCTGAGCTCTGGAGGATGTTTGAATATCTGAATTTGGGGGAAAGTTTGTGGATTTGCAGTGAATGTTTAAAGATTTTCCGTTGGGCACAACTGACGTCACAAACACTTTTCCATCGCCAGTGACTTGCATTCTCTGCACAAACACCACAGGGAAATTGATCGCATTTGAGCGAATCTCCACCGCGTGAAATCCCAGAAGGTGTTCTGATGTCACGCAAAATTAAATGTGTAAGCCAAGAAAGAGTGTGTCCGTCTAGTCCATTTATCTCGCCGTGGCAGTCGTGCCATCATCATCATAATCGAGTCCCTGGGCTTCTTGCTGGGGCATCTGCCAAGCCGAGTGGCCAATAAATGCGCGCACACACGGAGATTAAGGCGACGGAGCGGCCGAGAGTGGCCATCCAATTTATATAAATTGTCAATTATACGATATGAGCTGACAAGTCCAATTCTGCGTATGCAATTTTAATTGATATACGCGCTCATAAGTGACGTAAGCGGATTAATTCCATGGCCAAGTCGCCCCTCGGCGGCCGGCAAAGGAGCCCCGGGAGTGCAGTAGCATGATCTGTCTCATCTCATTGTGTTGCGAATGTCTTGCGGCCGGACGCAAATAAGACGCGCGCGGTGCAAAAGACCTCGCGCAACGATATAATTCAGGCGTGCTGAAATGAATATGTCCGGCCATGCAGAATGGACGGACCTCTAATCCCGCTGGCCTTTAATTGAATTCAACTTCCCCGCAGTAATGGGAAAAATGCACAGTCTTTTCACGTCATCCCAGGGAAAAGAGGTCCTCAACGTGTGTATATAATCTTTTTTTACCTTCAGATCTCGCCGTGAGGACTTATAAGGCTCGCATGTGCGACTCTCAGCCACGAAGTGGTCATAAAGCCACTCTACTGAGCGCCAAGCAGTGAAGGCGGATTTTTCCACTCATTTTCCCTCCCCCAGAGCTGATGGAGAGCGCATTGAAATGAGTCTTAAGCACCCTCTTCATAGCCAAAGACGCTCTAAAGCTCCTCGATATACGGTGGCCTTTTTATTTTACACTCAATCGCCGAATGCAATTTACTCCTTGCGCTCAATGGCCAGCCTTTATGGCCCTCCTTGGCAATATTGAGTCCCGAAGAATAAATTTGGCTCTTGTTTGAGTGCTCAAATGGGTTGGTCGTTTCGCCATTCTCACCTCCAACACTATTCATGGAGTTGATTGCGCGCTCAGGAAGCTCTATATGAAAATGGGCAGCATTCTCAACAAATATCCTCCCAAGCATATAATGTCTTTTCTCCTCTCCACCGTGAAAACCGGGGGAGAGTCTGCAAAGGAAAATAGCGTGGTGATTTGGAATAAATAACGTGAGTAGCGTGTAATGAAAAAAAAGCAGTTCAAATGTGTCAATTTGGATTAATAAAATTCTTCCATTGGCGCAAGCTTGAAGTGACATTCAAAAATTCAATCTCTAATCCTGTCTTTATGCCCAAACTCTATTTGCATCCGATTGATGGTGCCACAACAGAATTCGCGCGGCTTCTCATGAGATGGAAAGTCACGTATTAAATTTCATGTCCAATGCGTCGCAAAGCGGATGAATTTGTTAATTTCATTACAACTTAAGACGACCTTTCGTCACGCTATTTTCTGTCTCCCTGGATTGAAACGGTATCGCGATGTGACATTTCTTCAGGTGTCAATGCGCTTAACAGTCCATCGTCGAGGGGATTTAAACTTGTGAAATTGCGTCAATTCCTGTGCATTTGCCGTGCGAAGTCATTTGATAGTGTTTTTGCCCTTGAAATCGACTTTTCACCTTCACATCATCAGTAGAAACCCGCAGTCAAAGGCAAAAGTGGAGGAAAATTGCCAGCAATAAAAGATATTTAGTGGCGTCTGTCGTGCAAATTGTTTTCAATTATTTCACCTCATGCCATGTTCTCAATGGACTGTTTATTGGACTGAAAAATCATAATACTGCCACAGTGTGGCGTGAAATGGCGAATAAGAATGGTGAATCTATTTTCTGGAGGCTGCATTTATTGTCGTCGCGCGTCACTTTGTAATTTAAGGCATTTGCTATGAATCTTATTTGGTTGTCTTCGGCATCTCCGTATGCAATATGATGGTTTTTGATATTCCCAAACGTACAACCCAGGCGCGCTTATGATTTTCTGCCTCAGCATCGCACGATGTGGCTTGGAGGAATTTATTAAATAGACTTCCTGTCGTCTGCTCGTAAAGTTGTGGAAATTATTGGTGACGATGTTGCGTGGAGAGCAAAAGGCCGTCACACGAAATTCTTTGCCTTCCTTCTCACCTTTTTGTCCCATCAATACGCCACAATCTCAATGGTTTCTCATCTCTTCTGTCTCTCGTGCGTATTGTGCGCGAAAAAAAAGGCAGCCAGATGACGATTCGATAGCCCAATGTGATACCATATCGAATTAGCATAGTTTGACGAAAAATGAGATAATCTAGCTCCTCTTGCTTGGCCATTTCCATCGTCAGTTTCACCGAAAATAGTCGCGATAGTGTCGCAAGAATGGGAGCTTTTAATTAAAAGAAATCACTTAAGAAATATTAGGGGAAATTTGAATGAGAAAATGGACGAGAGACACCCATGAAAAATGGTCTAGAAAGACACTTTATGGCATGACATTTACACGCGGAAATTTATGATAAAACCAATGAGATTCTCGAGCTACTTGATGATGATTCAAAAGCTATATGATGGCGTGTGAATTATTTTCATCACAAAAAGTGTACAAGAAAGTCTTGAGTGAAAGTTAATTCATGATTTTCATGCAACTACTGTGGATTTTCCCTCCGCAAAAAAGAAGAAAAGCTCTGACTAATCGCCACATTAATGGGAAGAAAAGGACTTTGTAAGACTTTTCTGATCTCCTCAGCATAATCTCTGACCTAGTAGAATTTATTACGTGGCAAGTGAGCGCCAAACTCCTTATCAGAGGCATATATAAGAATAATATCTGAATATTAATCCACTAAATCACGAATATGGTAATTTCTCATGTTTCTCGTTTTTGTCCTCTGCATATTATATTCTTTTCCTAGACGCGCTCATTTGCCAGCCCATACAAGTTGGCTTGATTCTTATGCTGGGAGCGTTCGGACCTCCCTGCGAAGCGGACAGAAACTTAATCCCTCAATGTCTCATGGAATTGCACTTAATCTCCTAAGAGCGATTTATTACTCGGACTCTGTGGCAAAATTTCTCAACTCATGTGTAAAGTTATCTGACAAAAATTGCGCCAATCACACCTTTTGAGTGCGGCGATTTTTGCTATAATTC